CCCCTCCCCACTCCCCACCCCCTGCCCCTGCAGGAGGTGGTCTCCCACTGCAAGAAGCTGACCAAGAAGAACAAGGAGCACCTGGCGGGCATGATGGTTCTGGACAAGCAGAAGGGACTGAAGTCGCTGAGCAAAGAGAAAAGGCAGAAGCTAGAAGCTTACCAACACCTCTTCTACCTGCTCCAGGTGAGGAGAGGACCCCACCATCCCTGAAGGGTCTGGGGCCTCGAGGCCTTTCTCTCCACGTACAGTGTCCTTTCCCAACTCTAATGCCTTGACCCCAGAGACAGAGACAGTGCCCTCCTGTTTGTCCTCCGAGGAAGCTCCTGGCAGGAGAGCCTTTCTTTGTCCGATCGCTAGTCCTCCAGGCGCCTCGTAAGCCACTCCCGTTCCCCCGCTGCTTGCAGACGCAACCCATCTACCTGGCCAAGCTGATCTTTCACATGCCGCAGAACAAAACCACCAAGTTCGTGGAGTCCGTGATTTTCAGCCTGTACAATTATGCCTCCAGCCGCCGCGAGGCCTACCTGCTGCTGCAGCTATTCAAGACCACGCTCCAGGAGGAGATCAGGTAGGCTCCGCACGTGCAGAGGGACGCGGGGGGGACGGCCGGGCTGCCACTGCGGGCTCCTTCGCCCGGTGAGAATTTGCGGAGGTTGGCGGGGAGAAACGGAATCAGAAGACCTCTTTTCTCAGCCTCCCGAGGCCCGGAGGACCTCTCCGAGGACAGATGGAGGGAGGCCGGGGCGGAAGGTTAGCGCACAGGCCAAGATCCAGCTGTTGGGACCTGCCTTCAGAGGAGGCATCCAGAGTGGGCTTTGAAGAGCCAAAATCTCAAGAAGGAAGCACAGCTGTTTGTCCTACCCAGAGGCAGGAGACCAGCTTCCGTGACCTCTTGAACCGTAGGTCAAAGTTGGAGAGGCCCCAGGACATGGTGACCGGCAACCCCACGGTGGTGAGGCTGGTGGTGAGGTTCTACCGGAACGAGCGGGGCCAGAGTGCCCTGCGGGAGATCCTGGGCAGAGTCATCCAGGATGTGCTGGAGGACAGGACGCTGAGCATCCACACTGACCCCGTTCACCTGTACAAGAGCTGGATCAACCAGAGCGAGGCCCAGACCGGACAGCGCAGGTGAGCAACGGCACAGGGAGAGCTCCCTGGACCGGCTTGCTCTGGGGCCTCCCGGGGGCAGCGTATCCGTGAGCGTGCGGACGGATGCAAATCGGCCGGCCGCCCTATCGGATGAAATAAAGTAGCTTTTTCGACCCCCCTCTGGTAATTTACATGGAGCTGGTGTGCTTCACACAAAATGAACACAGATGATTTTGCAAATGTGTTCAATTGCCATGTCCTGCTTGCAAATGATACATCCAATTGGCCAGGAGTTGGGACCTGGACTCCTTATTGACAGGGGATAGCTGAACGTTCAGATTTCCAGATAAGTAGACCAATAAGGCAGTGGCGTCTGGGTCGGGCCTGTAGACACGGGGCGTTGCTCAGGTGCGTGGGTCCCTAGGCAGTAGGGCCGCCGAGGAGCAGCCCGTTCTGGGGGCTTCTCCTGTGGCATATGGGCTTATAGGTCGTCTTCCCGATTGCCCCAACTGCCAAAGACTAGATGCAGGGTAGCCGTGGCCTCCAGCTCCCCTGAGGAGTCCTCTACACACTGCGGCTTGTCCATCCGTCCTACTCTCGCCCACCCGCCGTGGGCCCTGCAACTCTTTCTTCTTCACCTTCCACCCACGTTGCTCCATTCCTTCGGAGACCTTTCTCTTGGTCTGGCCTGGTCCCCTTGAGCACGCTGGGCTGCCCTTAGTGTGGGTGTGCACGTGTCTACGTGTGCGTTTGTGTGCATGTGCGCACGTGCGTCGGGTGGGTCCTGCTATTAGGTGAAGAGTTCAGGGGGGTGGGGCTTCGGGAGGGGAGGCTGTGGGAGGGGCTCTGGCTGATACCTTGGCTCTCTGCCCACAGCCACCTCCCCTACGATGTCACCCCAGAGCAGGCCTTGAGCCACCCCGAGGTCCAGAGACGATTGGACATCTCCCTCCGCAGCCTCCTCGCCATGACCGACAAGTTCCTTGTGGCCATCATGTCCTCTGTGGAGCAGATCCCGTACGTGCATCCGCCCCGCCCCAGCCAGGCCCCTGGGAGGTGGAAGGAGATTGAATTTGTCGGTGGCACATCCATAATAGGAATCGTGATAATAAAGTCTAGCATGTCTGGATATCACTATACCATTATACGCTACTTCCACAAACATCATTTCACTAGATTCTCACAAAAACCCAGAGCTAGCGAGAGTAAAAACGCTGGCCTCGGTTTTCCAGAGCAGGGGGCAAACCTGCAGGGGAAGGGAGTCTTGTAAGCCGCCATCTGGTTCGCGGTGGAGGCAGGACTGGAGCTCCTACTCCGGTCCCTGCTTGTCCTCATGTCCTGCCTGCAGACCCTCCCAGCCCCTCCCGGGTGCTCTGTGATGAGACAAGGCTGGCCTCCTCGGAGGCTCCCAGGCCATCCTGAGACATGGTTCTGGCTGTGTCACATGCCCAGGGGACAAGCTGAAGGTGCCACTGTGGGGGAAGGCAGGCCAAATCCGGGGCTCTGGGGTGTCCCCAGGGGACACTGGAGAGAGGCAAAGCCGAGGCCCTCAGGCCAGGCTGCAGGCTGCACACCAGCCCCGGGTACTGGCTGTGGATAGTGGGGGGCCAGTGCGCCAGGCCCGGGCAAGTAAGGAGGCAGCACTTGTGGGCACTGAGCTCTGGCGGGATGGTGGGACCACAGCGCACGCACACGTTGTCCCCAGGTACGGGATGCGGTATGTGGCCAAGGTCCTGAAGACCACTCTGGCAGAGAGGTTCCCTGATGCCTCGGAAAACGAGGTCTACAAGGCAAGTGCCATCTGTCCTCCCCAGATTCCAGAGCTCTCCTTTGTCCTCCTGGTGCCTGTGAACCCCTGGGCTGAGACAAAAGGATAGAAAACCCTGTGCTGTAAAAATCCCAGCGGGACGGCCTTCTCCGCCCCGGCCCAGCAGCAGGCCTTCTGCTGGCAGGTGCAAAGGCAGCTGGGCCGTGAGCGAACAGGGCGGGGAGCCCTGGACTTGTCAGGAGGCCTGGGTTCCGGTCCCGGCTCCTGCTCACGTTTTGCGGTGTGACCTTGAGTGGGTGTTTCGTGGAACATGACAGGGTTGGCCCACGTGGTCCCTCCCAGCCACGGGAGCTGGGGAGTGGGGCAGGGGCGCCAAGGCAGACCCCCGGGCACTCCTGGGATGGTTTCCTCTGCCCTCAGGTGGTCGGGAACCTCCTGTACTACCGCTTCCTGAACCCAGCCATCGTGGCCCCCGACGCCTTCGACATTGTGGCCATGGCCGCAGGCGGCGCCCTGGCCACCTCCCAGCGGCATGCGCTCGGGGCTGTGGCTCAAGTCCTGCAGCATGCTGCGGCGGGCAAAGCCTTCTCCGGGGAGAGCAGACACCTGCAGGCCTTGAACGACTACCTGGAGGAGACGCACCTCAAGTTCAGGTCTGTCCCCTTCTCCTCCTCCTCCTGCCTTCTGTTGTGCCCTACCTGCCTCTCTGCAGTTCTTGAAGAAGCGTCGCATGGAGGTGAAGCGTGTAGTTAGCGAGCCGGAGGGTGGATTGTTGGAAGGACTGCCCAGTGGGCTGGAGAGGACCCTGGGGGGGTGGGGGGGGCCTGTTGGGCACTGCGGGGGGGAACAGAGCATGGGGGGTGCTGCCTGCCCCACCCCTCCCATACCCTTCCTCTGGAGCTAGGAGGTTCGTGTGCCGAGCCTGCCAGGTCCCGGAGCCAGAAGAGCGCTTTGCGATGGACGAGTACTCGGACATGGTGGCTGTGGCCAAGCCCATAGTGTACATCACCGTCGGGGAGCTGGTCAACACGCACAGGGTAAGGGGTGCAGCCGGGGGTTGCTGGGGGGCCGGCCCTCGGAGGAACGCCCCACTCGGGCCTGCATCTGCTGGGCTGCTCTGACCTGCAGCTGCTGCTGGAGCACCAGGACTGGGTCGCCCCCGACCACTGCGACCCACTGCACGAGCTCCTGGAGGACCTCGGGGAGCTGCCCACCGTCCCTGACCTCATCGGTGCGTGCCGTGCTGGGCTGGGGGGCCGGCTGGGGGGCCTGCAGGGAGGATGGCAGGCGGGTGAGCATGCCCGGCCTGGAGTTCTTGTTAAGTCGGGGATGCGTGCCAGGGAGCCTGTCGGCGCGCGCCCCTCCTCTCTTCCCCGGTCCTAAGATGGACACATGGACATGGGCTCATAGGAAGAAAGGGGACAGACAGTAGGGGGACCCAGTGCCGTCATGGAAATGGCCGATCAAATCACGTGAGAGAGACGTGGATGGATGCGGGTCTGTTTTGAGTCTCTAAGGGTTTCTGACAGGAGCTGTGGAATGAGAGGAACGGTCCAGGGGTGGAAGGTCAGGGTGGGGGTGGTGACAGGTTGGGAGCCGGAAACTCCAGGCCCCTGGTCCAAAGGTGTTGGTCAGAGGGTGAGCTCTGGGCGACAGCCCTCCCATCGGTGCTGAGGGCTGAGGGCCGAGGGCCAGGGTGCTGCCTTGGACAGTGTGGACACGCTTCTCCCGGGCCGGAGGTGCACGGGGCAGGCGGCTAGCATGGCTGTCCGGGCACGTCCACGCACGCTGGTCTCATCCGTCGCCCCACCTCAGGGGAGGGCATGGCCGCAGATGGGAGCCCGGACCTGAGCAAGCTGGAGGTGTCCCTGACGCTCGCCAACAAGTTTGAAGGGCTAGAGACGGACGCGGGCGACACCAGTGCCCGGAGCCTGCTTCTGAGGTGGGTGAGGCCGCCTCGGCCGGGGCCTCGGCCCCTCCATCGTCTTCCTGGGCTGCCGTCCCTCGGGCAGTTCTCCCCGAGGCCTCAGTGGCGCTGCCCTCGCCGGGCCTCTGTGTCCTCTCGGCCTTGGCTCTGGGCTTCGGCTGAAGGCCGGGGGAGACTTGGCATGCTGTCGCGCTGTCTACCAAATGCTTTTTCACGTGTTACTGTTTGACCTGAGGGACAACTGTGACGTTGGGGATGGTTTCCCTGCTGTATGGTCCAGAGACACGGGGGCGAAGTGGCCTGCCGGAAGTCATGGTCAGGAGAGGGGCCTGGAGCTTCCCGTCCCCAGTTCTGTGAGCGTGAGGGGGCGCCCAGCAGGGCTGGCTGGCCATCCGGGCAGAAGAGGAGCCAAGTAGCCACCCCAGTCCTGCACCAGCATGGCAGCCCCCTCCCCGCACCCATCCACCCAGTAAACCAGGGAGCCAGGTGGTCAGCTTTGTCTTACCACCGAAGGCCTCCTAGCAGGGTGGGGCCAGGCGAGAACACACAGCCAGAGCCCCCAGGAGGAAGGTGGCCGTCAGCAGAAGGGACATCGGAGCTGGGGAAGGTCTCCCAGACAAGGGAGCGCGTCCTTCAGCCCCAGGACTCGCGGTGACAGTCTGTGGGAGGGCCCTCTCAGCAGAGGGCAGGGGTGAGGCAGCACGGTGCGTGCACACTGAGACCCCTCAGCCCACCGTGATGTCTCCTGACCTCCCAAGGTCCTTGGCAGCCATGACGCGGCCAGGGTCCGCTCCCTCTCAGTTCCCGGCCAGCCCCATGTCCAGCCCCCTCCCTGCCCCTCCCGGCCTCCTGCAGCACCAAGCAGATGCTAGCCGACGTCATGCAGTTCCAGCCTGGGGACTCCCTCGAGGAGATGCTGTCCCTCCCCGCGACCAGAGAGCAGGTGAGTGGCCAGGTCGCTCGCAAGCACTGTGTGTGCATCCCCCAGCCTACCAGCCCCGCCCGTTCCTTCCCCCTGACCCGCCCACAGCCCGCCGCAAGCAGACAGCTGTGCTCCCCAGAACCACGCTGGAGCTCCCCCTGCACCAAGAGTGAGCTCCGCGGGGACACCTGCCCCGGGGCCCGAGCTGGGCGCTGCGGGCGGCAGCCTGGGCAGCTGTCCTGGACGGCGCCGGAGGGCTGGCGCCGGGCGGGGGGTGGGGGGCGCCCGGGAGGCCTGGAGGCAGGAGAAGGTAGTGAGTGGGTGGAGGTCTAAGCCACGGGCTTCCCAGGGAAAAGGTGAGGCCGGCGGGCAGGTGGAAGCTTGTCCCAAACAGGACAAACAAAGGCGAGGAACACCCCCACATGAATGTCCCGGAGCCGCGTTGGGAGGCGGCTCTGCTGCGGCTCCCGTTGGGGTCCCCCTGCGCTGACCGCAGGCCCGTCTGTGTCCCTGATGCCGCCCTCGGCTGTTCTTCCCGAGCCACCCGCTCCGCCCGGCCCCACCCCCGGGAGCTGGGGGGCTGCCCCGGGGGGCTGGATGGCAGCGCCGGCTGGGTCCCTCCAGCTCCTCTGTCCCCCAGGAAGCGGCCCACAAGCGGCTGACGTGCCAGCGCCGGGCCTGCGAGAGCCAGACCCCGGAGCCCCTGCGCCGGCACCGCTCGCTGACCGCGCACGCCCTCCTGCCGCTGGCGGACAAGCGACGGCGCGTCCTGCGGAACCTGCGCCGGCTGGAGGGCCTGGGGCTGGTCAGTGCCCGCGACGGCTACCAGGGGCTGGTGGACGGACTGGCCAAGGTAGCGCCC